TTTGTATTTCTATCTCCATGATACTCACCACAATCAAGAAGCTGTCGTAATTCTGCTGGGCTGCTGGAGCTCTGTGTTCTGTATAGAGTTGAACATTCCAGACCTAGGACACAAAGCAGACCGAGTATGCAAAACACAGCTCTCTGGAGAACCTGTGAGCCTGCTGCCAGAAAGACATTCCAGTTTCTATCCAGTATCTATTCTAGATGTGTACCAAATATTCTTGGAAGTCAACTCCTACTATTAATCTTATCTGGCATGTCAATAGTTTTGGCAAAATCGACTGGCCCCTAAGGAGCAAGTTAATTATATTTATTAAATTATAGAGAATTTAATGGTTTCCATACAGTAACTACATGTTAATATGGAGTTAGAAGTCAGACCAAGATTATATCCCCAGAACACAGCAACAAATAGCTTGCCTGTCTAGCACAGGTAGCAAGAAATGTATTTAATGAATGCCCGAGAGACCAATATAAGTTATAACACCCATGAAACAAGGATATAGCGAGTTAACTGAGTCACTCTGCCCGCTGGATTACCTTTCTTTTCAATGGCTTCCACAAGCTTGATGAGCAGAGGTGGAGCAGCGTCAGGAGGGGCAAACTGCTCTGCGAGATCCGGAAGGGTCAAAGCTGCAAGCAAACAAAATTCTACAATTATGTTTAATCTGGGGGTAATCAAATGCAGTAGACAACAATGAAGAAAATTTAAATACAAAAAATTTAATTCTATCTCACAGTAGCAAATTCGGGCCTGAGTCGGAGAGAGCCCTGTGCTGGGCCCTGCGCTTCGGACGGCTTCTCTCTGGCCCTCCCCTCCAGCTGTGCCTCTTCCCACAGAGTAATGAGTTTTGGGGGCCAAGAGGACAGGACTTTCTTCTCTCCTAAGACACACTCAGACTGCTTACCCAGAATTCCCAAATCTCATGCCCCAGTGGTCTCTCATGGCCTCTTCCCCAGGTCGAATCCTTGCTGGGGCAAATCTCCCTTCTGGGGTGCTCCTCTGGGCCCAAGAAGTGGGCTGGGTCTGGGTGGGAGGGGCTCGGGAGGGAATGGGGTTTGGATGTGCAAGGCCCCGGCAAAGCTATGTTCTGGAGCAGAACTTGGAGCCCAAGAAATCTAAATTCAAATCTGGCCTCCTGGTCATTATGATGGGATAACTGTTCAGGCGGGAGGCTAGAACAGATTTTATTCAATAGTTTGTCAATGTGATTTCTAACTTTAACATATTCAGACACAGGGAATGTGGGTCTCCTATTGTACTCTTGTCTCGAGCCCAACAAATGTCAGAGGCAAGCCTAGTATCAGATTCGGAAGCCAATACACATGATCACTGACCACTGGACACTCATGTTAAGTCCCCGTGTACCTGCCATCAAAGCCTTTATTTGCTTATGTTATTTTGGTTAGTTAATATCTTAAGAGATGTGATGCCTTCATAAACTGTTTTACCATGCTCTATTTGCATGGTTTACCAGTTGCAATGACACAAAAGAAGAAGAATCTAATTGGATGACACTTATAAATAATGTCCTTCAACATTCCATTGATAACTGTATGCTCACTCCAAAAACTTATAAAACTATTTTAAATAGAATTTTCTCATAATATACCAGAAGAGGGAGCTAAATATATTCACTTCAAATTTCTCAAATTACGAAATATAGGTAAATGATAGTCTTTCATGAAAATATCTACATGTGCAACCTGTTTATTAGCCATTGGTGAATAAGTTTTTAGATACTTAAGGTTCATCACTGTATACTCCTACCTAAGAATAGATAGTTTATATAATCTAAGAAAGACTAAATATTAGTTTGTTTAAGTGAAATTTTAGTGATGTGATTATATCAAATTAAGCAAATTTCTAATACTGCATCCACACAGAACAGGTTTATAATACAAAAGTAATGTTATTAAATTTTTACCTCAGAGAATATTAATTTTGCAAACTCTATACCCTGTAGTCTAAGACTCTTTTAGATCGCAATATGTGCTGTGATAGACACATGTGATCTTGCCACCTATCTCGATTATCCATTACAACTACCCAGAATAAAAAGAGTGGAGCTAAATTATGGAAAAATCCTATAGCAGTGCCATCTAGCAGAACTTTCTGTGATGACAGAAATGTTCTAAGGGCTGCGCTATCTAATAAAGCAGTGACTAGCCACATGTGGCTACTGAGCACTTGAAATGTAGCTACTGTGACTGAGAAACCAAATTTTAATTTGTATCGATTAAACTGAAATAGCTATATGTGGCTAGTGACCACAGTATCAGAGAGAACAGCCCTAGAGACCAAGCAAGGACAAATTTTGTCAATAGGAGACAAAAGGTTCCTGAGTTGGCTTTGTGCTACAGAGACCCCACTATGAAGCCATCCTGGAGGACACGGCATCTGGACACAGGGCTAATCGCCATCCAAATACCGAGCATGCCAAGTTTATTACTCAATTTCCTGGGTGCCTTTGTCCTACTGTAAAATCACTGGAACACATTTTGGACTTCATAAATGCAGAACAGATATATGCCACTGATTTTCTAGACAGACACGATGCAGAGAGCTGAGTGGGAACTTTTTCCTGTGTCTCTTTTACCTGCCTGAGCCTATGGATCAGCTGGAGAACTTGCTAAGAAATCAGAGTCCCAGGTCCTCCCACAAACTCCTAGAATTGGAATATCCAGGAGTGGAGCTGATAATCTGTTTTGGGTTAGTAATAAGTCTTAGAACATGCTATTATGATAAGCAAATTCATGTGAGTGACTTCCTGAAAAAAAATCCAGTAATGACATCCCCCAAATCTCTAAATGTTAAAATGTGAGTATATTAGAAAAGCACTTAAAAATACAAATGTCTTGAAAGTTTCATAGTCTTTTTAACTAAAAGCATTATAAAATAAAAAGAAAAATTATGAAATGAAAGAGCATACCATTTCATTTCCTTTGATTAACTATAAACTACTTCCCCTTGCTTTCAAAGAGTATCAGCTCACAAAAATATCCTTCCCCATAAAAGTCTTCTACACTGAACAAAATGAAATATCTTATCAGCACATGTAACATAAAGGTAGAGAAATGGTGTAGAGAAATGTTATTAATTAGGATTCACTGTAGTGTCTCCTTAGCCCTCTCAAACTTACAGGCGCCTTAGCACACGCCAAGATGCAGAAAACTGAAAATTAAATTGTAAATACATGAACTCATATATTCATCCAACACTCATCCAATTAACATGCCCAATTCTACTTTCCCTTCCCTCATAAACTACACAACAAGCATTTTGTTTAAAAAAAAAAAAAAAAATCTTTAAAGTTGGCAACCAAAAATGGAATTCCTTAATAAAGGTTTATCTTCTTTCAGAATCTTATCAAAATGATCATTTCTGTAGGCAAATATGAAAGCTGAATTAAGTGGTACAGATTTCACCTAATTATGATTGGAATATGCACCCAGCAGCTGTTATATTACTGGCTTGGCAGAGAGTACCTATAAAAGGGGTTCCATCTCTCTGTTTTCTCACTTTAGCTTGAAGAAGGGGACATGGGGGAGTAAAACTTTTTTCCTTAGTCTTTTCAATGTTTCTTTGGCAAAAAGTGGTAGTTTACCTTCCAATACCCTGAGTTACAAAATATCATTTGTTTCACTCATACAAGTGTTACATGGAATTTCTAAAAAGCATTGTGATAGCTATCAGGTATCTGGAATCTTTTTCAAAGTATACACCAGAATACTTTAAAAAGAAAAAAAAAAAACTAGACATATATAGTAGAAAGTACAGGTACTTCTTTTATAATACATCAAATTTCTCACTGAATTTTTAATATTAAGAAAACTTTATTACCTAAATGTATGAATCATCACAGCTAATCAAGATTTTGCAACGGGAGTTTTAAAAGGTAAGCTTTACAAGGAGAGATGATTTTTTAACATAACAATGCAAGGATTTCCTATTCTCTAGTACAATATCGGTGATTCAATCCAGTTCCCCTTTAAAATATTTAAACATAGGGAATGTGGAAGTCCTACCTAAGTAGTCTTTAAAGTTCACATCTACTATCAAGCAACAGGATCAATTAACATCAAAAGTCTAAAAGGTATTATTTCTAAAGCAAAATATTATTTCAACAATCCTAAAATGAACTATTCCTTTAATTTTATTTAATATACAAGGTCAATATTTACTTTTCCATTAGATCCCATTTTAGGAAATTCCAACAGGAAATGACAATTGCTAGGATTTAACCAAATTTGGCAAGTTGTTCTTTGAAAAGTCCATGATAAAGCCCCACACCATACGGTTCAATAAACCAAAATATAATGGAACTAAAAACATATATATACAAAATATGTAGATCATATATGGTGGCTATGAAATAAAACATAAGTTAGCATGATCCTCATAAATTTCGCACATAAATTCTTGTTACATTTCATCTTCCAGACAGATTTTTATGCCTGAATGAGGAATGCTTTTTAGTTGTCGATCCTGCGGTAGCCAGCGTATGAGTCTGGAGAGCCAAGTCCACCCTTAAGAATCCGGGTGAACTTGTAGATTGCTCTACTATAATCTAACAGCAGATTTTCACTTAGCTGAACCATTTTTCATCAGAAGAAATCGGTATTTAGAAGAAAGAAGACAAAAAGGAACAGCAGAAGGGTCTAAAAGTAGTGAAGCCTAGATATGTATTATTTCATAAGAAAAGAGGAATCAGTCATCAACACTGACAGGAAACACCAACGAACCAGGCGTCCCAGGTTTTAGAAAGAAGTTTTGATGACAAATCAGATTCTGCACTTTCTACTAGTCCTGTTTTCCCGCCCTTGCCCTGCTGACAACCAATCACATGGAACAGAAGAGAACCTGTTCTCCAAACTTAGGTCCTTCCCAAACCACTGACATGGACAGGCCTGAACAGTCCTCGGGCACCAGTGGTGTGTGGGAGACAGTGGCTTTCCTCGCATCACATGGTGCCAACACCTCTACAAAGTGCAAGATGAAACCAGCACACAGCTGCACCTTTGGGAGGCGTTCTCCAAAAAAAAAAAAAAAAAAAAAAAGATATTTTAGAGTTAGTGCCTGGCAGGGACAAATGGAAAGTTTAAACTGAAATTCTGGGACTGCAGAGACTGTCCAAGCCAAGTATTTCATTACTTACGGACGCAGCTTGGAAGTATATGAAAAACTGCCACTTACCTTTTAAAATCTAATACAAATACACAGAAAAGAAAGAGTATATGTAAAGTTGGGATCAATATTAAATCAAGATGTTTGTCTAATCACTGTTGCTGAATCAAAACTCTATTTCTGTCTGAAACAATCTGTCTCATGATTTCAAATGAAAAATGTACATTCTGGTGGGCAAGAATATATAACAAATCCCAATACTTTTCTTAAATAAATCTTATAAACACATTCATACTTCATGCCTAGAATGGTTAATACCCTGAACGTTTTTTAACTTCTTAAGATCTATGGGCAAAGCCATATCGAATGCTGGCTAAGATACTGCAGCTAAAAAACTAAAACAAAGCAAAAAACCTATTACAGGTTCCTTAACTTTGGAGCACACCTATTTAATCAGTAATAGAGAAATTATTACAAATACAGGTTTAAGAGACCTGGGTTTTAA